TTAACCCATTTGGGACCAAATGCAAACTACACATAATTTAATAAAAAAAACTTTATTAACTCAATGAAATGACGCCCACAAACTAATATCAGCAAAAAAAATTCAAAAAATATATTTAGAAGTATTAAAAAAAATGCCGTCCTTGATTGGGGACAATGGGCTCATGTGTAGTACTTTTCGAAGTAGTAACTGTTTTCGACACATAAGGTTCTAACGCATTATTTGCATTGATATCACAGTTTTTTTATGAAGAATTGCGTGTCGGAACAGATATTAACTAAATCTCTGCGGAAAATGTCTAAATCAATTTGATGTGACGCGCCTGTATTTTTTTTTGCGGGTAAAAATCATGCATTGCGTTTTTCATCTGGGGGCTCTTACTGGCTAAAACCAACACGTTCCTAATTCTGCTTCAAGCCGAAGCCCCGGTGACCCACTAGGTTATTCATAGTGGTCGGGCATCTGTCCTACTGAGCCATCTCGATCTAAGGCGGTCTGATAGCACTTTGAAGCGCGCGCGTAACGCCACGCGCCTTATAGGTTCAGGTCTGGTTCTGGGCGGCGATCTGTTCTTGCTACTATGACTGCTTCGCAGAAAGCGATGGTTTTCCAGTTCCCCCCTCGCTCCGCACCACCAGAACCAAAGCTGGACGTTGAAGATTATCGTCATCGATCACTTCCCGGAGGAGACGGTGGTGCTCAATGTATACAGGGCATAATGCTACTCTATCCTCTGGGTGGACCTCGCTGTGGCGACACCAGAATACAGCTGGAGGAAATGCCCCCTACCGCTGAATTCTGATATCGGATGCGACGCCTGGTACTGTAGATGGAGTTCTGCATCGTCGATCTTGATGCCCATCAGATTTTAAATATGAACGCGTAAAGATAAGACTTGATATAGGATTGGTGATGCTTTTCGTGAATTAGCGTATGTAGTCACCAAGTATTAGCTATAACTAAGTTTAGCCTATAGGTGACCTTTATAAATTGGAAAACAAAATACAAATCAGGTATAAATGTTTTAAAAATAAACTACAGATGTGCCCATTGTCCCCAAACGGGGACATCATAATATTTTCTAACTTTCCCCTAAGCGGAATTGAAAGTATAAGGATATTCTTCAATATTGTTTTAAATGACACTATAAGCAAGCAATAATCACAAAAAAGTTTTATAATTCTTCATAGTAACATACTATAAAACGGCTCTGCTTTCGATAATAATTCCCATTTCACTTCCTCTTGATAAAATTGTCAATATGACCCCCTTTTTGTAGCAATTTGTCAAAACTTCTAATAATTTTAGGAAAGTACACTACTCCTCATAAAAAATACTAATGAAAATTGAAGATAGCTAAAAAAATGAATAACCAGCGGGTAAAAGAAGACCTGTCCCCGTATGGGGACGGCAGATCCAAATGGGTTAATTAATTCCTTTAGACAAAAATACAGAACGTAGCGACACAGTGAGATGCTGTCAGAATGCGCAGCGCGTTGTCTCTACTTGTAATGAACCAATTTGATTAATAATTCGCTAAAAGGTTGGTACAGTGGCTGAGAACGCGGCCGCTGTGCGGTGTGTCCCGGCATTCAATGTATTCTCGTACCGAACAATTCTTTCTGTGATCGACAAACGAGGTCTGAATTAGGGGTTCTTATAAATATTTGTAAGTATCTACCTACTGAAGATAATCTAGAAAATGTAACGACTATTTACTCGTCAAGTACTGTCATTATAGACACAATTATAGAATAATAGGTTGCGGTCACCGGTGACCGCTCGGTGTTTGACAGTTTAAGAGACTGCTCTGCTGTGACATTTACTTCTAAGAATCATAAAGTACCTGTTATTGCGTATTGATGGCTGGCAAAACAGTTTGTAATTCACGAAATTGATAATGGTTGCCAAACATACAACATACATTCACGTTGTAAATCTATACAATAGTACCTATAGCTACCATAAAATGTAGCCACCCTTACTGACGTCTCCAGCTTCTGGATCAGTGTATTTACATAATAGCTAATTACTAAGACTTAACGTCTAGTGCCTAGCGATCATCAGGCGTTAACCCTCAAACTGTCAAGTTTAGGGCACACGGTTGTGCTAACGAGTTCCACCGCAGCGGCCGGCGGGTCGTCGCGAGCCACGTCCACACGTACACATGCTGCATATACCACATACTTGTATAATTGGTCGAGCCCAGTCAATCAATCAGGGCTGCGATTTCGTGGTGTTTTGAAGTAGGTAGACGCACTGCACCGCTTCACTTTAATTGGCCTAGTTGAGACAGGTATTAATTTCTTTCTATACCTAGTCAACCATTTAATAGTTACCTAAGTCTAACTGCCTAAATATCGACTTAAATACACAACATCAGAAATCAAGAAAAATCAACAAGGAAGAGTTGTACACACAAAGATAGACTCGGTACAAAGATGAAAGGTTCTGCCGAAAATAAATAACGGCACACAGGGCACATTGCAAAATCATAAGCTTTCAGAGGATTCCCTTCTAATAACTTACTTGAACAAATAGTAGTTTAGTTACCTTCGAATCTTTCAAACCGACTTTTTCCTCAAAAAACTCTATCGTAAACGGCAAATGTAATTATTGACTCTGAGTGACTCGGGCCCGCAGTCACAGCAGCGCGTGAGAAGGTCCACTCTGTGCCATTCTATGTTCTATGAATAAGACATTTTATAATAGAAGTTTTCGAAGAATTCTGCATTGGACTGGTTTGTTGGTCGAGTAGTCGCAAAAACTAAGGGGTCCCGTCTCGGCTTCCGATTCCCAGATCTGGGAAAGTACGTACAGTATGTACTTATTTGGGTTTCCGTTTGTAATATAGGTTGTGGTCTAGCAGGTGGGGTTGTCGGTCGCGGTGTGGAGCAATCTAAGTTTGTAATAAGAAAATTATTAGGAGAAAATATGTTCTCGACAAACACAAACTTAGTGTAGCTGAGGTACTGCTACGTATTCCCCTGCACAGTGACCCCGACTGTGGGTCCCTTGCTCTAATGGAACCCGTGCGCTTCGATAAAATATTTATTGGAATTAAATATGGTGGGCCGGTGGCCCTTCGGCAAATTAGAGGTCCGAGTCAAGGAGTCAGTTCATACAGATTCCACTGTAAAGGTCACGGCGCGGTGGTGGCCAACAACATTGAGATATGTAAGTTCACGTACTTTTGAGTAAAGAACTCGAGTTTGATTTTCAGGTCGGGCAAGCTTATAATTTAAAAGAAAGTTGTTTACAACAGAACCAATCTTTTAGTTTTAAAACGTTTTCAAATATCTCGAGTGGTTTTTGTAACAGTTACAGTACTTTGTGCGACGATAAAGACGATAAAGACAATGAAACACAATATTACTTAAAATACTTGTTTATTGCTTACGTAATTGTATAAATAAATGTTTTCTTAAAATTAGCTCTTACAACTAAAATAGTGTAACAAAATTGTCTGGTAAGTAACCTGGTTGTGTTACTTATTATTGTTACAATAAGTATAATTATAATCAGGTATCATTAGAGGCGATGACGGGAGTTGGAAAACGAAATAAACGCAGTAAATGTCCAACAAGTAAACACTGCTTGCGCTCAGCAATATCAACTTATTGTTAAACGCGCCATCTGTTAGTGGTAGCTCGAACTTTATCTTTTAAGGTAGATGTCGCTACTCTACGCTCTCTAAGACCAGAGTTCGGTACGGTTGAGATGACTGTCAATATTTCAGACCAGAGCTACCAGAGTACCAGAGCCAGTGTAGAATGCTACTAGTTTCAGTGAGTCAAAACCGTGACCCTAAACTGAACAGGAACAAAGTGGGAAAATCTGAAAGTCACTACTAATTACATAATTCATATTATTATTGTTCATTTTACTTAATTATAAGTAGGTTAGACACAAAGTCTATAGTCAACTCTATCTTACGCACCTGTACCTACATTCAATACGTAATTAATATTAACACTCCTTTGCCATGATTACCTCAAACAGCATATTATCTACAATAAGGTAAAATCTATCTTATTTCAACTGGTCTACGGCTGTATTTCCAGTTCCGGTGGTAATGGTATATTTTTCATGATGGCGAAACGTTTTAGTGCATCATATTTCCCTCGCAACGCTTCCACTTCCTCACGGATCCTGTTGTTCTCGTCTTGCATTAGTTCCATATCGTGCCACTCCTGAAAGATGCGAGAAAACAATTAGAGATGGCGCTGTATAAAGATTCGTGTTACGGTTAAGGTAATCTTTTGATAGCAATGAATCCGTGGGTAGCAAGTTTGTTATTGTAACTTATCTACTCCAACTAGTAAAAATAAATAAAATAGTTTTGTTCACAGATAAAATCAGATTACAAATATTTATATTCATAGTGCAGAAACATGATAATGATGATAAATGATAAACAATCGATTGCTGGATACGTTAGCAAGTACTAAAACTGCTTGGTAATTTAGTGCCGTAAATAGACATGACATGATCTAACTGAAACTTATTTTTTTTTTCATTTCATTTACTATAAAATGTTGATACAGTAGCGCACTTGTACCACTTGATTTAAAAAGGAATATTGTCTAAATAAACTACACTATAATTTCAGTTATAACAAAATTATGAAGTACAGACTGCCGGGCAAGGGGCCCCAGGTTCGATACCCGAGCCAGGCAAAGTATTATGGGTTTTTTTTTAAAAACATCTCAGTAGTAGAACGAAGTCTGAGATTGTGCCCGGTATATGGCAATAGACCCATCTCCTATTACATAGGACTCATAACATAAATAGTGGAAAGTATGTGTTACATTGTACAGTGGCATTAACTGCCGGTGTGGACAAAAGGCGTGATGTTATGTAATTACGAAGTATGTCTGGACAAACCTGGCTCTTCTCAGTCTCGAGCTCGTCCTTCTGCTCGATGCGTTTGATGCGGCACGACGCGGCGTACCCGCGGTTCTTCAACGTTCGACGACGCTGCTTCATTCTGCCATTACATCAAATGCTTTAATACAACGAGTGATTTCTCATTGATACAAGTAATAATACGAACCAGAATTAATATAGGTAAACTGGATTGTTTTAAAAAAAAGCCACGCTAGGATTTTCTCCTGTGTCGTGGGTGCGTTTACAAATATACAAATTCATATACACATACCACACCCAGCCCCGGAACAATAATCTGTTAACTGTGTGGGAATCGAACCCACAACACGTTGCGCGGCAGCCAGTTGCCCAGCCACCGCACCAACCGTGCAGTCAAATGACAGAATATGTCACGAAGAGATTTACGATATCGGACAAACCTGTGCACCTAGCATTGTAGTATACCGTGGGTAAGAATAGTGTACCTGACTATCTGGTCCCGGGTGAGTCCTCTCATCTTGAGCTGTCGGTTCAGGTCGCGCACGGAGATGGAGACCAGCTCGTCGTCACTGATCTCCGCGCACGGGGTCGGCGACAAGGGAGCCTGCAACCAATGTAAACATACATTTACTATATGGAACTGAATGTTTCAATACTTCGAATCCATCAACCTTCGACATTGAATCCCATTCAAGAAAATGTTAATTATAAAAACTGTCAGTCATATCCAGTTATGGCATCAGAAATTACAAGATGTTTAGAATTCACTCGCAAAAATAATTTACCCAGTTAGTAAACACCCCTCGCGTCAACTACGCCTTGACCTAAAATCCTCGCTGACAGAAATTCAATGATCAAAGACAAGTCGTGGGATTAAGGTCATGTAGGGAGACAGACCTTACACTAGTGAGCTACGACCCAGGCACTACTTAGTGACAGGGACCACTCAATAGAACAACATTACATATTGCTAACAATATAACAACATAGAGGTAGGTACCTAATTGAATAATAAGACGCTCACCTCCAAGTCGTCCCAGTGTACGTCCATATTCTCTTATATTTCTCTATGAAACCACGCCTAGCTACAATCTTTGAAATAATTACTAAACTTTTACTTTTTGCAAGTCGGTACATAAGTAGGACTAGAGGTACTGCTCTACTGAAGCAACAATTACAAAGTGAGCGAAAAACACGATGTCGAAGTATCGTGGAAGAGAAACTGCAAATCATCGTGACTTCAAAATATAGAGGAGTGAATTATGTTATTTGAATTTATCTTGTTTGTGTGACGTCCCCGCAGCGGCGCAGATATAGCAGCTAGCTAGCAAGGTGCGGGTGATTCAGATTGCGCGTACCTGATTGATTCGTGCAACAAGGACAACACACGAGTTGTCAGTTCATGTGACGCGTCCCACGTGTAAACAAAACAGACGGAGTACACGTTAGAGCACTGATAGTTGAATTTTGGATTCCATCAGTCAAATTGTGCTGTCCAGTAATAGAAAATTGCTTTGGTGGGAAGTGGCATCTTTTAGAGAAATTGTAATATTCAAATAGAAGGCTGCTTAGCGGGATTGCGAGGGCCGATCCTGTTCGTAGAAGGCGTCAACGAAGCAAACGTATCGGCGCCACAACACGCCGATACAACGCCCTGCAAGCGAAACTTTGGGGTCCCGGGTCCATAGAGAGCGGTCTCTAGCCGTGACCCTTACATAGTTGCAGTAACATCAATAGCCCTCTTTGCATTGCGAAATACTAGTTTTTGCGTTATGCAAAAACCAGTATGATTGTACCCACACGATTAGTGATGGAAGTGATTGCATGCAGGTCGTTAGGCTAGTTCAATTCCAGTACGACAAAATATATCGCCTGTAGTGCGGCAGTTAGTAAGTAGAATAAGATGTGTTTTGTGATGAAGTGAGAATTTAGAATTACTACCGGAGTAGACGCTGTGGGTGCACCTGCACCTCAATCAAATTACATGAAAATGTGCAAGATTAGAAGTATTTTTAGTAGGTAATTGTGAATGAAGAAAACCTAAGCTACTTAATAAAATAATATTACGGCTTTCTCATATTACTAACTAATTCAAGAAGGATGTTCGATAACAATCATCCGAGTATAGATCCTCGTTGCTTTTTACAGTAAAAGGCAAAAATTGAGAACATCATGCACAGATACAAGATACCCCCAGAGTACGAGTGCTATCCCCCAGTACATGTATATAAGCCTAATCTACTATCTAGAATATTATTTTATAATCATAATACATACACTGAATTTTTAATTTAACATGTATATGCATCTTTACTGGTCTTATCATAAGGTTGATTTTTGTTTATTTTGTATTGAATGATAGAATTTGTATGAATACAAATAAAACTGCGATTTTAAAAGTTTTATTGCTAAGACTTACGGTCCATTTCGATTTGTTTTAACAGTACAGGGTTAACCCTTTAACCGCCGACACCGTAATATTACGGTTTTCGAAAGCTGTGTCCGAATCGCCACATACGCACAATCACGATAATTTATTAAAAATCTTCTCATAGAACTCGCACAAACTCCATATAAAATGTGTCAATTTCAAAATGTAGGGTATAATCTTTATTGTTATGGATATTTCTCAATGTTTTGAGTGATAAATACTGTGAAATTTGAGGTTTAATTAAATTGTGGTCACCGTCTCCATTATCTGTATCGCCGATCACGTAATTTTACGAGTACTAGGGATGGGGCGAATTTGAAAAATACTTAAACTGTCAAACACCAAGCGGTCACCGGTGACCGCAACCTATTGTTCTATAATTGTGTCTATAAAACCGGTACTCGACGAGTTAATAGGCAAACAAGGCACATTAGATATTACTGTCACTATTTGCAATGAAAGTGTATACTTTCTTTAGAAAATAACCATAGTGTTACTTTGATGCAAGTATTTGTACTAATTAAAATGTATTTAAGCTTAAAATTATTTAATCTTTATAACAATAATATAAAAATTTCATAACGCAGAACCGCACTAGTGCGGACAGCCGCCGGTCGCCATCACCGTAATATTACGTGCGGCCAAGGAGATTAAAAGGTTAAATAGCGCTGTATTGTGAGTTGCCTTAGCGCCGTCACCGTAAAATCACGTTAAACATTTATCGCTCAATGCAACTAGTGTTGTACCCCCTTTTTTGGGTTTTTGTTATTCGTCAAATGAATTAACACAGACAAAACCAAATGTGTCCATTATGCAAAGTTAGAAGATGGTGACGCAAAAGTTTTTGATCAGAGACCAAGTGATCCACAAAATGTACGGTACCGTACGGTCGGAAATCCGCTCAGAAGTTTACATGAAAATATTAAATTTAATACGACATGCTCGTGGAGTATCGTCACCGTCTCCAGCAGGAGAACGGACGACGCCGTGCCCATTTCCCGAATGCTCATTTTTGTACACTTCGATTGAAGACTGAAAATTTTTAGATTATTTATTGAGTAGGTAAATAAAACATTGATTTTAAATTTTTAATAAATAAAGAATAATTATATGCATCGATATGTCGTGGTGGCCCGGAGGTTTAAGACGCCCACTTCTCATGCATGAGGGTGCGGGTTCGAAACCTACCAACGGCAAGTACCAATGTGACGTTTTCCGAGTTATATATACTTTCAAAGATTATTTAGACACCACTGACAAACGGTGAAGAAAAACATCGTGAGGAAACCTGGACTTATAATTTCTAATTATAAGTTTGAAATCGCCAACCCGCATTGAGCAAGCGTGGTGATTAACGCTCTAACCTTCTCCGTGTGAGAAGAGGCTTTGCTCAGCAGTGGGCATTTATAAGCTGTTGATGATATGCATCGATATTAAGTGTTCCCAACACTGTTCCAACTTATACCTAAAGTGACGTGGCGCTGGAGGTAAGTTGTGAGTTCAAAATCTTGGCGGTTAAAGGGTTAATATGACAATAATTTCCGTGGTTTTAATTATTTTTGGGATAAAATATTACCTATACTAAAAATTATATAAATCGATTCAGTTAACGATTCTGAACAAACTATTTTCAGGATGTGCGTTATTTAAGTTACATGTTGTATAACTGAATTGTTTATTTATGACTCAAAACATTGTGCTCTCAATGGATGTAAGTACAAGTAAAATTGTTACACAAGTTTTGCCCCATTCCACCAGTTATACATATTTTACATTTTTAATGTTGTACGTTTAGGATGATTTGGTAGTACCTATCTGAAAATAATATTTATAAATCACAACAGTACACAACTGTACATTTCTAGTGAGTAATAAAAATATCAATATTGAAAAAATCATAGTTACTTATATCCATTTAGGTACTGTCAGCATTATTCTAAATTATATAGATAAAGAAGTGATATCATGACTTCACAGTTATTATACAAAAAGGATGACATAACACAAAGTAATCAAAAGGTCTTGAGAACAAATTATTTGTGTGACATTTCTTTTTACAATTGGATTTTGTTGATGTTGTCCTGCTCCTACCAAATCAAGTTTGTAAGGATTAGCTACTCTTTCGTTCAAAGATAAACAATCTATTCTCTTCTCATCAGCCCAGTAGGGCTGAGGCCGCTATGGAGCCGCGGAGAACCTAACAGGTTTCCGGGGCTCCGGCTCGAAGTGCATGAATAGGAAAAGGGTGGTTTTTAGTCAGTAAGAGTCTGACACTCCCTCCCACCTCACCCGGGCGGGAGAAGTCATTAGAAAATTATCCCCCTATAAAAAAAAACTCTTCTCAGGCTCTGGTCAAGGCATGTACATTTTTCAATATCAAAACTAAGTAACTAATTACTATTTTCTTGTAATTAAAATATACATAAATTATAGAACATCCGCAAGGTGGCTGGCAGTGGTTGAATGAGAAGAGCTGAAGACCAAGCTCAGTGCCGTGTCATTGGAGACGGCAGTGGACGAATATGGGCTGATGATGATGATGATGATATGAGTTTTAGAAGGAACTGCTGAATCTGACTGACATTGTAAAGTTTGTGCATATTTGTTACTCAATCGCGTCAACAATATAATCTGTCTGGAGTAACACATGTTGTTGTTTTGACTGCACAATTGGTGCGGTGGCTGGGCAACCAGCTGCCGTGCAACGTGTCGCGGGTTTGGTTCCCGCACAGAACAACACTTTGTGTGATCCACAAATTGTTGTTTCGAGTCTAGGTGTCATGTGTATGTGAACTTGTATGTTTGTAAACACACCCACGACACAGGAGAAAATCCGAATGTGGGGCAAAGATTTTAATTAAAAAAAAAAAATTACATGTGCTACTTTTTACCCACCACATGCACTACTGCTGATGCTGACAGAAACTAGTTAAATAATATGTGACAGTAAATTCTGTACATATTCATTAAGACTTCTATTATTCTAATCTCTAACCTCAGTTTGGTCTAGTGGGAGGCTTGTAGTGTTAGGTGCTATTGATAACTTGACTTCCAATAGTTGGGATTTAGAAATAGGTACTTTAAATATATTCAATTAATAAAAATATTTGTTGTTGCTATATGAACTAAAAAATTAGTGATTCCTAAACTATACTAACAGAATAAGCATAAAGCTTGAAGAGAACGAACAGTGTGAACTAGCCGGCTTTATACAAAAATTTATACCATTCACACAGTGAAAAAAATAAGAGGATTCAAAATACAATTAGTAAAAAAAACCTTTAGCCACAAAGCCATCTGAGAAAGCCTAGCCATCTCCTAGAGCAACCAGGAATACCCTCAATTTACATCAAAATTTTAATAAACATATATTCAAACAAAGCAATGGTACAACTTGAGCCCATCAAATAATGTTCAAAATACAGAAACATCAGACAAGCGACAGAGATACACATCATAACAGATGGAGTTCCATTATCTCAGACTGGTACCCAAGAGACTGTAAATGTAGCAGCCAACAAATGAGATGGGAGGATGACCTAAAATTGACAGCTGATGTGAATGTGGACGTGCCCTGTACGATACATGAAACCATCAACAATTTGGACAACCATCACTAAATTGATTTCAACTATGTTTTACTAAATTATGCCAAAATTGATAGATACATTTTGTATTACTTACCATTACTACTGGTTTCCTCCCACCCAACTCCTTTAAATCATGAGGCATAATAAGTTTTTGAGGTATTTGTTTAGATAACGGGAGACCCCGTTACAACCTATTTTCTATCTGTTTTGCACTTTCCCTCTACTTTAAAGTAGTACTAAACACAATTTGTGTAAGATTACACAATAATAACAAATAAAAAAGAGGAGATTCTCGATTATTCTCAGTAAATTAAAACAAATAAACAATAAATAATACGCAGAAACTTCTTTCCGCAGAATGCAAAAAAGTCACTCAATAGCCAATAGTGATGTGGCTAATCCGGTTTCAAATGTAGACAATAGATAGACCGACATGTAGATAATATCTACTACGACTACAGTAGATTTGCTATAATTTTACTATTTCAATCATTGTATAAAAATATTAATATATCGACGTTTTTATATTTTAGGTACCAGTCTAATAATTAATAAGTTATCAATTTTTTCTAGAACATTCACATTGTACTTTTTGTACGTCTATCTTCAATTTTTGTTGTTACGTGTATCCTGTCTAAAGCATAAAGTTACTAGGAAAAAAAACGATTAGCTCTATGCTTTGGAAGTCTACTTTGCACAGCGTTGCTTATGATTTTTTATTTAGTCTGTGTGAGCATCTGTGGTCGTTGATTGACGACTCAGAGAAATAACAGCGAGTAGACGCATTTTATTTATCGTGTTTGTGTTATAATTTAGTGAAAAATGGCAAAAAGGAAAAATAAACCTTTAATAGACTCAGACTCCAGTAGTGAGTGCTCAGATTTGGATTCAGTAAGTTACTTTTCTTTAAAAACCTTAGGTTATAAGTTCACGTCCGTACGTAACGATTTGACGGCATTCTTCATTAATTTGACTGCGTAAATAGGCCAAGATCAATGTTCCTTCGTTCTAAATCCATCTTTTGCGCATTATGTGAAAAACCAACGCATGTAACTTGTTTCAGCGAGCAAAAAACTTGAAAACTAGGCCTTATCTCTTCCGAAGAAAACTGATGTTGTTTACGTTACGTTAAAGCTTTATTAAATGGCTTCTGTTGCGTGAGTCATAAATAAAAATGAATGAAAGCTAATGTTCCCGCCTATAAAATTTCTACAGTTAGCTGCAAATGTTATATGATAGCAGTATCTAAGGCAATTTAAACACTTTGCAAAGTTTGGCGCAAATATTTCAAGTTTGTTACTTGTTGTGGTATTTTAACTAAGTCATTCAGCTAACAAATGCTTAAGGATTATATAATTTTGAGCCCAGACTTTCTTTTTTCAACCAGATCCAAATATCTGTCCTAATATTCAATTTGGTGACTATTGTTTTCAGTATATTTTATTCAGCTAAATATGTTTTTATTATGATCATGACCTACATACCAGTCATCAGGACAGGACACCAACTTCAAAATAAACTGGAAATATCAAAATTTAAGCATTTACTATAACATTAGTTAAATATATATTTAAAAAATAAAATACCATGTAAGTAGAACTGTTATTATTGCATAGTATTTTATGACCCTTGGCTTCTAATTTGAGGTTACTTACAGTGTATTACTTATACTTATAGTGTATCTTTTTAATTTCATAAACTAAATTAATTTGAATTTATTAAAACATATGCTATTACTTATAAAGGTTCTGTACATGTCAGCACTACAATACTTTTAAATATTATCTGAATAAATTGACAAACGTTATATGTTTTGGAGTCACTGTAATAGAAAACAAACTGTCTTTACAAAAGGCTTTTGATTTACTGAAAGCTCTAGGTAGTCTATTCTATGTAGTTGTGATATCTTTTGATCATCTCTTGTTACGGTCATAATCCTTCATTATATTGAGTTGTTCTTTGACAAAGTCATACATCTTATACTATTATATAAAGCGCAAGAGTTTGTTTGGTTGTACGTGTTAATCTCCGTAACTACAATTCTGATTTCAATAACTCTTTTTGTGTTAGATAGCGCATTTATCGAAGATGAATATATGCTATAAAAATCACGCTACGACCAATAGGAGCTGAGCAGAGCGGGTGAAACCATGCAGAAATAGCTATATTTGTATTGTAACTTTCATGAGACATACTAAATAAATTATTATGTTTTTGGCTTACTCACATAGTAATTTGACGAGGAACTCGACTAGTTTCAAGCCATGCTAGAGGCTCATATTCATGAGCAGCATTTCGCGACCCGCGACGCGGCGACTGTCGCGCTGATACTGGCTACACGAGGCTACGAGAGACTAGCATGGCTTGAAACTAGTCAAATTACTACATGAGTAAGCCGAAAACATAATAATTTATTCAGAAATAGCTAGTTTTAAAATATACACTGTAGAGACATTTCTCTTTATAAATGATTATTATTGTATGATATACATATCTGTATGTATGTAAGTGATATGTGTATTATTGAGTTCAAAGATACCTAATCTTTGAATTATTATTTTTATTTAATTTGTTACAATTGTCATATAAATGTTTGTATGTTTGACAAATTGCAAAGTCATTTAAATATTTGACTAATAAATACAGGTAATTTTAAAGTTATTCTGTTTGTTTGTATATACCTGGCTTTGACTTCGGTTTATACCTGAACAATTGGTTCAACTGGAACTAACAAGTCGCACAAGTTGGTAGGACAGCACTGTCATGTGTACTAGAGTCCATTCTATCTCCTGTGATTGATTATGCAATAATTTTTTTTTTAATCTGATTGTCACCAATATCAGCCAATATGTAATAAAAATATTCTTCAATTTGTATTAGTAATTATGTACTGACACAATGTACAAATAAAATGCAACGGTTATTAATTAAATATGTGTATGATTTACAGCAATTCCTGAATTTAGCAAAGAAAAAGAAGAAACCAGAAGATTCCCCTCCACAGTCCAAATCTAAGAAGTCTGGTTCAGGTTCTGACTCTGAATCCGACTGGGATGACGATGACAACAAGAAGTCAAATTGTAAGTTTCATGTTATACTATACAATGGACAGTTGAGATCATTGTACCCAGACCCCAGTTATATAAATTCCTTACTGGATACAATTTTTGTATCTTTGCCTTTGCCCAAATCTTTCTAGTTACATGGTATTTAATATGCCTTGCCGCAATTGTCTAAAGATAGCTTCAACAGTTTACTCATTGGCAGACATACACAGTAATCTTAATGATTCACGTTTTTAGCAAAATCCTCATCCTCATCGGGGTCAGACTCGGAGAGTGATGCCAGAAGTGATACATCGAAAAAGAAAGAAGCACCTCGCAGTACAAGGAAGACATCTTCAGAGCACTCGGACGACAGCCAGAAGAGAGTGGAACCTAAGAAGACAGAGAACAGAAGAAGCACAGACAGCACAGAGTCTGCCAAGAAGAAGGAGACATACAGTGAGCCCGAAGAAGGTCAGTACTCATACTTTACTAGTAACCTAGCTATTCCGCGTGGTTTCCACCCGGTCTCGGCTCCTATTGACCATAGCTTGATTTTTAACAGCTCGATCCATGGACTATCCCCCACAAAAATAATGATTCAATTCAAACCAAAGTTCTGGAGATTAGCTCAAACAAATTCTTCAGCCTTTAGAATATTATTATAGATATACGTCATGCTCCCAAGAGAACTACAATTTACCCTTCCTTTTTAATGACTAATTAATTTATTAAAGATACAATTTATGATAATTAATAATTATATATATATTTATAGATTAATTATAATATAGTGAGCGTTTGGCCCTTTGATTGATGAAGTTATTTCATATTATTATAGTATCAGTAAGACTTTCGAAAAACATTCAAATTTTGTTTTTGTTCAAATAAACCAGTATAAACTGGCTGTTAAATCTACGGAAACATAAAAACGAGACAATGATCAACTAGCCATCGATGGCGGCCAGGGGACTAGGGTGGCGACCCCACAAACTTTAGGTTAAACTAAAATTGCGTCCACTAACAAGTGCAGAGCACATGTAACATTTCCATGGACTAACACAGAACAGTTGAAACAAGCGCACGATCTCTGTTGCAGGGGAAGTGTCGTCACACTCGTCAGACAATGACTCCATTGATTCAGAAGAAGAATTTGATGACGGGTGAGTGCACTGTACATGCTACTTACATTCTGGTCACTTGCTTTACTAAATGTATATAAACTATGTACAACTCGTACGCTTCGTAGATATGACGAAAACCTCATGGGCGACGAGGAGGACAGAGCTCGCCTCGCCGCCATGTCCGAGAAGGAGAGGGAGCAGGAGATCTTCAAGCGAATCGAGAGGAGAGATCTCATGAAAACCAGGTCAGTCACACAAACGCTTCAATTTATACGAAATTCGTGATACGTGTGAACTAATTACGTCATAATAATTTATAGTCAAATTGCACACTTATTTATCTTTTTTCCACAAATCAGTTTGTCATCATAAGTAGTAAGTAGTCAATGAATGATCATCTAAAGCTTTTTATTTTAATGCATCAAAAAGATGGAATGATTTATCCCAATATGTTTGAATCAGCTGACACTGCGTCAGCTGATTTTATGAGAGAGGTACCAGAAAAACACCACGCGAACAGAAACTGAACTCATAAGCAAGGATAATACTCTTATTAGAATTATATAATACAAAATTAAAACCAACAGAACTGAAATAATTATTATATTTGTTTAAAAAGCTAAAAACACGCTTTTTATCATAATGCTAGGTACTTTGCGCGCGGTTTCGCCCGCTGCTCGGCTCCTGTTGGCCATAGCGTGTGGTTTTATAGCGTATTTATTTATAAATATTTAAAGCGAGATTATATACTATTGTATGGTACTAATCTACATATTTGCCAAGTTTGACGTATGTAGAGGTAGTATAGATTCTGAAGAAGACAGAGGGTCGGCTTGCGAGGGATTTGGAGAAGCAACACAAACACCACTTTTACTTTTTATTCACTTCCTTTATATACTTTTAGGCTAGGGGTAGGGTTAGGGGCGCTGGTTGTACTCGCCAACGTCAGGTTTGACGAGCAACCTAACCAAATTGATGTAACGAAACTGTAGAAATTAGAAGATTGAACCCTAGTTTATTGACTAAATAGTATGTATATGATAGAACCTTAGTTCATAGATAGACCTTTATATTATTGTCTATGATTCCGGTTACGTGTCTTCGAGTGTTTTTGTTTTATGTATTGGTCTGAATAAAATTACATTTCTAAAGTTAAAACTGTTTATCCTTATTAAAATTAACAGAAACCATAGCGCGATCTATCTCGATATTAACACCCTCTATCGAGCGACGTGACAACTCTGACTAATAATAATTTTATTGTAACTGCCACACAGCAGTATTTTCTCCTGTGTCGGGTGTACAGTTATACAAAGATAGGATGATGACCGGGTATGCAATAAAAATGTATTTAGTTTGTCAGTTGTACAATGAAAAAATATTAGACGTGTGTTTTTTTGTTTTTTAATGATAACTACATAATTAAGTAGGTACTTACAATTTAAGTCAGAGAGTATCAGCTCGCTACGTCATTTCTAAGTATAAAACTTGTAGAAGTGACGTCACACGATATCGTTTCTAAATTATCTGTAGATGAATAAATTGAAAAAAATTTTTTTTTAAATAAACGTTGCCCCTCATTATGATTTTCTCCTGTGTCGTGGGTGCGTGCAGGTGGGAGATAGAGCGCAAGCTGCGCCTGGCGCGTCGCTCGGCGGCGGGCGGGTTGTCCCCGGCCGACTATATAATTAGTGAGACGTGTGTCAGTGAGCGAGTAAAGAATGTTGTCCCGTGTGCAGGTGGGAGATAGAGCGCAAGCTGCGCCTGGCGCGTCGCTCGGCGGCGGGCGGGTTGTCCCCGGCCGACTATATAATTAGTGAGACGTGTGTCAGTGAGCGAGTAAAGAATGTTGTCCCGTGTGCAGGTGGGAGATAGAGCGCAAGCTGCGCCTGGCGCGTCGCTCGGCGGCGGGCGGGTTGTCCCCGGCCGACTATATAATTAGTGAGACGTGTGTCAGTGAGCGAGTAAAGAATGTTGTCCCGTGTGCAGGTGGGAGATAGAGCGCAAGCTGCGCCTGGCGCGTCGCTCGGCGGCGGGCGGGTTGTCCCCGGCCGACTATATAATTAGTGAGACGTGTGTCAGTGAGCGAGTAAAGAATGTTGTCCCGTGTGCAGGTGGGAGATAGAGCGCAAGCTGCGCCTGGCGCGTCGCTCGGCGGCGGGCGGGTTGTCCCCGGCCGACTATATAATTAGTGAGACGTGTGTCAGTGAGCGAGTAAAGAATGTTGTCCCGTGTGCAGGTGGGAGATAGAGCGCAAGCTGCGCCTGGCGCGTCGCTCGGCGGCGGGCGGGTTGTCCCCGGCCGACTATATAATTAGTGAGACGTGTGTCAGTGAGCGAGTAAAGAATGTTGTCCCGTGTGCAGGTGGGAGATAGAGCGCAAGCTGCGCCTGGCGCGTCGCTCGGCGGCGGGCGGGTTGTCCCCGGCCGACTATATAATTAGTGAGACGTGTGTCAGTGAGCGAGTAAAGAATGTTGTCCCGTGTGCAGGTGGGAGATAGAGCGCAAGCTGCGCCTGGCGCGTCGCTCGGCGGCGGGCGGGTTGTCCCCGGCCGACTATATAATTAGTGAGACGTGTGTCAGTGAGCGAGTAAAGAATGTTGTCCCGTGTGCAGGTGCCCGCCGCAGGTACGTCGCCGCCCCACTTACATCAACACGTCCTACACTATATTTACTTACAGTCTTTTTTCAGAAACGCGTCTACGTCAAAGACCTTCAATTAATTATTGTTTAACAAATGTGACTGGCCCCGTCCCGCCTTAGCTTGCTAATCCTAACCTATGTCGATAACTTCAGTTGTTTGACGAATTACATTTCGAATACTTGTGCTTCAAAGTTTTTTTACATATGTTTCTAAGAAAGTTTTTAATGTGTTTCGCTGTAGAATTCATCTCCCTTTTATAAACCCAACCACATATTACATTGTTGTTTATATTATACGAGAGTGGCGACAGTACTGTATGTATGTATATAATTGTTATTGATTGTAAAAGTTATTGATCTTATTTTGCTAATTTAATTAAGTCCGTTCGCATATTTACAAAATCTAGAAAATAAGGGAAGCCTATTATTAGCCTTAATCTCTGTAATTCACGCAAACTTTTGTAAACTATATGTAACGCTGTTTGTTTTCTAAATAAATAAAATAAAATAAAAAAAAATTATACAGAGATGGAGGCGGAGGCCCCGGCGCCGCCCGAGCCCCAGCAGGACAAGGAACTGCCGCCGCCCAGTCCCGGGGAGATACTCGACGACAAACAGGATGCTGGTAACTCAATACTACCTACTACATGATTCTACCGTGGTATCACTCCGATGGAGTAGTGCCCGACGTATAGTGAATGAGACGCGAGTAATGCCATGTCGTCCCCAGACCGGTCGGAGCGCGCCGGCTCGCCCCAGTTCGGCAAGACGGAGCGCAAGCGGAACGTCGACGACAAGCGACAGAACGCCATGGCCGCCCTCCGCGCCCAGAGGGACGCCAAGGCCACGCGCGTCGAGCTCTCCCGCCAGCGCAGGAACAAGGAACTCTCTCACAACGACAAGGACGACACCGACGTCAGTACTCGCTGCACGCCAGGTACCCTCGGGGACTAGTCCGCTGCAATATATCGTCATACCGTGTTTGTACAGGACGCCGACGCGGAGATCATCGGCGGCACCAGCAAGCAGAGCGTCAAGTTGAAGGCGTCCGACATATACTCCGACGACTCCGGGTCCGACTCTGACGATAACAAATCCCAAGGTAACCAACATATTATATATACTTCGCCCACTTCATAGTCCCGGCATGTAATGTGGCTACATTGTGTCGCGGTGCTCATTACTTTATGACGATCGCCATCATTTACTCCTCACGTCTACTTGAAAGAATGTTTCAAGGACACGTTACAATAATGTACTTTAAAAGTTTAGTATTGAGTGAGATATGACCAATGTACTATATACAGGTCGGCGCAGTTCGTCCAGTTCGATGTCGTCGGGCGGCGAGGAGGATGACTCCAAGCGAGAGCGGGAACTGGTCGAGGTCAAGTACGCCGATACTAAGGAACAAATCAATAAACTCCGACTCAGCAGGTACTCTATTATACACGTACGACATCACGTGATGACTGCTAAGATCCAAGTATCCTGAATAGTTTATACTATAAACCACGTGTGTCTACAGATTCAAGCTGGAGCGTCTGGTCCACCTTCCATTCTTCGCGCGGGTAGTGACTGGATGCTTCGTCCGCATCGGCATCGGGAACAATAACGGGAACCCCGTCTACAGGGTCGGTATATGTACATTAGTACATTCAATACTTCAACATTCAGCATACAGTCTATTCACCTTTTCGGCTTTTGTGCAGCCTGTTTGGAAGTTTCTTGGAAGTAGAAACTGTTCGCTTTGTCCTCTAATAACATGACTTCTGATCACTGATCACTTTGTTGCATGACTCAAGACAGTTATTTGTGTCCCTCTTGTGTGCCTCTTCAGTGTTCCAGTGTCTTCGTGGTTGTACTGTGTCTCGGTGTAGAGGAGTTGTTACTAATGAATTTAGTTCAATATTCCAGGTAGCAGAGATAATAGACGTGTATGAGACTGCGAAGGTGTACAACCTCGGCAACACTCGCACCAACAAGGGCCTCAAGCTCCGGCACGGAACCCAGGACCGCGTGTTCCGCCTGGAGTTCGTCAGTAACCAGGAGTTCACGGAGAGTGAGTTCCAGAAGTGGAACAAAGCCATCAAGGACGCCAACAAGAAGCCTCCCACCATGGACTTCGTGCGGAACAAGATACAGGAAGTCAAGGAAGCGCTCATGTACGAGTTCAAGGTCAGGAACATTTCTCATACAAACTAATTACACACATACAATATTTACGTAATTTATCATACACAATTCGGTGAACTCGGTTCTTCTTTTGGGATCTCATCATGGGTTTGAGATGACATTATGTGACTGTGTCACTTCCATTCTGGTTTTATTTTGTAGAAAATATAAAATAAATATTAACAATAATTGACTCGACTAGATAAACAAATAGATGAAATAGATGATAAAAATATAATTGCAACAAATTAATTCGCTTTATATTTTACCGCCAAAAGTACAACTATTAAAATTGTAAAATATTGACATCAATACCACAGAGGTTGATGCGTGATTTGGATCAAACCGTATTAAAGACTGACTCAATTATTTCGTATAAATCGATCCATAATTTACGATTAATTTTAAATCGGTCACAAAACTTTAGACTAATATTAAATTACGACTTTACAGGCTCATATACTGAATATTAATTTTAAAACTCTACAGCGATAGTTTTGCACATGTTTTTTATTCAATTATAATGCATAACAATATTATTATAATATGTTTAATAAAGTAGTGCATACGAAATTATGGGCAAGATGGACCTCAGCATTATGAGCGAGATGGTTCATAGTCACCAAAATGGCTGTATATTTTCATTGTGAAAATAAATCGTTTTATTTCATGCCCCTAACCGATTTATTTTTGTAAGTACATTTTATCGGTTAGATAATTCAATACATCTCTAAGGAAACTTGAATTCAAATAACAAATGTCACACAAAACTGCCATATCTCAAAACGACTTAGGTTTCTCTCAGTGCTGAGGAACGTGACTCACGTGACTCCTCGTAATGTTGCATTCCATTGCTTGATACATTGTAACGTTCACGGACATCTCTATGGATATTTAGTTAGACCACCGTATGGGACTGTCGGCCTCTTGGTGTCCTTCCTTCTACTTTAGATCTAGGTAATTTGTAGTCGACCCAATATAAGCTTGTATAAAGTGGGAATATTCATTGTATCGGCAGGAGGAGGACATTGAGAAGATAGTAGCGGAGAAGGATCGGTTCAGGTCGCATCCCACTAACTACGCCATGAAGAAAACACAGCTCATGAAGGAACGAGACGTCGCACAACTCAGGTACTGTATATACAGACATATGTACATACATACATACACCTGTTGTAAATAAAAACTCCTTGCAACTTGTATTTACTACACACGCTGTTTGTTCATTAGTAAAACATTTGTTATTCAGTTTTTTCTGTGTGACGTTACACATTCATTTTATATCGCGAGGTATTTTATTTAACAGACCATTATAACCTCTTACACTCACCTCTCATATGTCTAAGCTTTAAGACTGACCTCTTCTCCAAATAGTCAGATAGGAAGTGATAGATGACAGATACTATTATTATGTGTGGTGATATATCGAGCGACGTGTTACAGAGGGGACGACGAGACCGTGATGGAACTGAATGCCAAGATACAGGAACTGGAGGAACGAGCCAGTCAACTAGACAAGACTAGGACGTCCTCTATACAGAGCATCTCTTACATCAACAACAGGAACCGGAAGCTCAATGTAGAGACCGCGGAGAAGGCCATCATGGAGGAAGTGAAGGCCAACAAGGGCAAGAAGGCAGACGATCCCTTCACTCGTCGGAGCACTAAACCTGTCATGAACTTCAAGTCCGGAGCCAGCAAGGCACAGGTATGTACAGTCAGTTGTTCATGGGCTTTATTTTTATTTTATTTTTTTAGGGGGGGGGGGGAATCATCGAATGACTACTCCCGCCTGGATGAGGCGGGAGGGAGTGTCAGACTCTTACTGACTAAAAACCACCCCGTTCCTTCTCCTGCACGTCGAGCCGGAGCCCCGGTTACCCGTTAGGTTCTCCGCGACTCCGAATCGGCATGGGTCCTGTTGGGCCCCATCTGTGGTGGTCTGATGGCTCTTTGAGGCTCGGGTCTGTTTCTGGTCGGACGGGGAGCCACCCATGCTCGCCGTCCACAGGCCCGCGCTTACGGTGGCCGGAGATCGTCCCGCGATCCCCGACGCCCGGTGTGTCCTTCGCGATGGCTGGGTTGCGAGGACGCGTCCCGCCTCCTCAGCTAGCATGACTGCTTCGCAAAAGGAGGAGACGGCATCCCAGTCCCCCTCGCTCCGCATCATGGCCTGCACTAGGCCCGGACGCGAGAGGTCGCCATCGCCGATCACTTCCCTGAGGGTACGGCGGTGCTCAGCCCACGCAGGGCATTCTCCCACTGTGTGTTCCACCGTGTCCTCAGGGTGGTCCTTGCAGTGATGACACCCGGGCGTTTCCTCCCGCCCCATCGGACACAGGTACTTCCCGAAATTACCATGTCCGGTGAGGACGCCGTAGCGTCTCTCAAGCCACTCCTCAAAGAGGGGACTTACCGCTGCGATGGCAGCGAGCTCAGCCTTCGGTTGCGACATTTGCTGCCATTCCGCCATGAGATCGCGCCGGAGCTCATCCCGCCACGCACTTATCTGGCGCGGCAGCGGAGTGTCGCCCCGGCGTCGTGCCTCCGCGCGCATGCGATACACGCGCGCGAGCACCTTGGCCTTCAGATCCCACGGCGGTAACCCGGCAGGGAAGTTCGCCGACGCCCCATAGATCGTGCGGTATCCGCGGATCATTCGGATCGCCATGTATGATCGCCGCTGCCATGAGCAGCGCCCAAGCGGGCCGCCGCAACAGGTTCGGCGCCCACACAGGGGCGCCGTAGAGGGCCATGGACCGCACGACCCCGGCGTATAACCTCCGGCAGGAGGCGTTTGGCCCCCTGAGGTTGGGGAGGATACGTTTAAACGCAACCCCCGTCCTCTCCAACTTTGGAGCGAAACGTCGGAAGTGCTCTATGAAGTTCCACCGACTGTCGAGGACGAGTCCCAGGTACTTCATTGTCGTCTCGACGCCGATGGTAACCTCTCCCGCCGTCATTTGGGACCCACCCGGAGGTGGCGCCTTCCCGCGGTCATGAAAATACATGGCCTCGGAGCGCCACCTCGAGTCCCAACTGCCGGATTCTCTCAACGACTGTCGCAACCGCTGTCGCCATTAGATCGGCCGCCACCTGGTGTGACCTCCCGTGCGCTAGCACCAGCGTGTCGTCGGCGGAGCATATTGTGCTAACGCCGTTCGGGAGGTCGGTGCGCAGCACCCAGTCATAACCGATATTCATTCCACAGGAGCGGCCCCAGGACCGAACCCTGTGGAACACCGCGTGACATCTCTCGCCGGTTCCACTCGCCCCGGTGACCGGGGTATATGACAGATCTGTCCGTCAGGTATGCCTCGATTACACGACGGAGGTAGGTAGGCACCCGATGATATCGGAGTGCCTCCAAGATGCAGCTCCGGGGCAGGGAGTTGAAGGCGTTGGCGATGTCCAGAGACACCGCCGTAAGGTAATAGCCTTACCCCTGGACACTTGGGCTCGCTGCCATTGCAGCGGTAAGTCCCCTCTTTGAGGAGTGGCTTGAGAGACGCTACGGCGTCCTCACCTACCGCCTGACGCAGGTCTTCACCGGACATGGAAGTTTCGGGAGGTACCTGTGTCTGATGGGGCGGGAGGAAACGCCCGGGTGTCATCACTGCGAGGACCGCCCTGAGGACACGGTGGAACACACAGTGGGAGAATGCCCTGCGTGGGCTGAGCACCGCCGTGCCCTCAGGGAAGTGATCGGCGATGGCGACCTCTCGCGTCCGGGCCTAGTGCAGGCCATGATGCGGAGCGAGGGGGACTGGGATGCCGTCTCCTCCTTTTGCGAAGCAGTCATGCTAGCTGAGGAGGAGGCGGGACGCGTGAGGCAGCGAAGCGCTGCCTCCTCGCAACCCAGCCATCGCGAAGGACACACCGGGCGTCGGGGATCGCGAGACGATCTCCGGCCACCGTAAGCGCGGGCCTGCGGACGGCGAGTATGGGTGGCTCCCCGTCCGACCAGAAACAGACCCGAGCCTCAAAGAGCCATCAGACCACCACAGATGAGGCCCAATAGGGCCGATGCCGATTCGGAGTCGCGGAGAACCTAACGGGTAACCGGGGCTGCGGCTCGACGTGCAAGAGAAGGAACGGGGTGGTTTTTAGTCAGTAAGAGTCTGACACTCCCTTCCGCCTCACCCAGGCGGGAGCAGTCATTCGATGATTTTCCCCCTTAAAAAAAAAAAAAACCCTGGACACTGCAGTCCCCGTCGTCCGGTCCCTAACGCGCATGATGGCGTCCACCGTGGAGCGCCCTCTGCGGAAGCCGAACTGGCCGTCCGACTGGTGCGGCCCAATGTCCGTCAGGTGCGCGACGAAGCGGTTCGAAATGATTCTTTCGAAGACTTTCCTCTTCGTCGAGCAGCACTATGGGCCGGTATGCGGACGGAGAGTCCACAGGGCACCCGTCTTCCGCATGGGGACCAGTTTGCCCGCTTTCCAGAGAAGCGGAAGCAAGCCTTCGGGCCCTGGGGCGGTGTTCTTGGCGCCCATCCGGCGCACCGCCGCTCTCAGTTCTGCCTCGGTCACCTCTGGGACGATGTCGTCGTCGTCGAATTTTTTATAGAGGTTATTTTCCTCGCGGTCCGGGCGACCAAGCCAAGACCCTCGTCCCGTTCAGAGTCACAAAACATGACCGTGACCTCCTTACGGATTACGATATCGACGGCTGCAATCGGGGACAGCTTGTGTCCCGATGCTGCTCGCTGGCAGGTGAGTGCACAACGAGCACCGCCCGCGGCCTCTCCGCCACGCTCTCTGCTAATCAGAGAGACAGGCGGAGAGACGCCCCACGGAAGCGCGGGCCATGAGCACACAGCCCGCCGCCTCCAGAACCCTATCGGGTTCGCCCGCCCAGTCCAGAAGTCTGCTGCGGGCGACAGTCACTCCGAGCCATCACCCCCGCTAGGGAGACTGTCGCCCGCACCCAGGGTGCACCACGGAGAGGTATTCTAGCACCGCACCCCTTGTTCATGGGCTTACGATGTGACAGTGTCACATAATGTTGGTTAATTTAAAACAAAATGTAGTTAAATCATTTCATTTTGTGCCCCTAATCCATTTATTTTTGTATGTAGATTATATCGGTGAGATAATTCATTCGGTAGTTTTAGTCAGCGCCATATCTATAGTGAAACTTCAATTAAAATACCAAACGTTATCCACAAAACCCAAGAGATCACTGAACGACTATAGTCATAGCAGACATGCTATTTGTTCAATTCAAAGTAAATAAACCAGTCAGTAGAAATCTACAATGTCTGTTTACTACAAAATTGTAAACCATTTGAAAAATCGAATGGTGTTTTTGATTGATTTTTAATTACATTGAAGTAGGAGTGGTGTAATTGTGGATTATTGTTCCAGGACGCGCGCAGCGAGGAGGAGGCGGCCGACGCCATCAAGCAGAGGGACGACGACCGCGCCCTCCGCGACCTCAAGGACAGGGAGCGACTCGTGAGTATCTACCGCACTGTACCGGCCACTACCGGCCCGCACTGTACCGGCCCGCACTGGACCGGCCCGCACTGGACCGGCCCGCACTGTACCGGCCCGCACTGGACCGGGCCACTAACTAACGGGACTATGTGTTACAGCAGGCCGCGGCCGACGCAGCCAGCGCGCGCGGGGGCGCGGGCGGGGG